TAAGGTTTAATAATAGAGGAAAATAAAAATTTTAGGTAGGTTATAATATATAAAGAAAATATTTTTGGGCGCCAATAGCAAAAGAAGTGAAAAATGATAAAAATCTTTTACACCAAAAAAGACGAAAAATGATAAAAAAATCTTTTAGGTCTACTATCAAATCTCTTTATTCTTTAAGGTTTAATAATTGAAGGAAATAACATTTTTTTTTTATTTTTTTTTTTAAGTTATAACATATAAAGAAATGAAATTTTTTTAGAGCCTCGTTATTGATTGTTGCCTTAGTCAACCACCTAAGCCTAAGACTCCAAGTCTCCAACTCACCAAAATGAAGGAAAAATAGTTCGTTGTGCCAGAGTGACAAATTTAGATGGTGAGACTTCAATGTGATGTGTGTAGATGTTGTTGTCCATAGAATTTTCTTTAAGAAAATAAAAAAGAAAAAGGAGTAATCAGATAAAAGGAATCTTGGGGAACAAAATGAGATAATAATACAAACTTTTGTGATGTGAGAAATTTCTTTTAGGGACACCTAATGTTTCTTTTAATAGAAGAAAAGGAAGAAAATTGGGATGTGGCAACTTTGATGCTTAAGCAAACATGTGTAGAAGATTATTCCATGGGAAAGTTCCTTTTTCAAAAGCTTATTTGGAGCCCCACTCTGTCCTTTGGTTTTGAACTTCATTTAATTTTTAACTTTGAATTAAAGCAAAAGGGTTTCAAGGATATGGTTGTCCTATGAATATGTTACATATCCAAGCATGTGACTTTGCCACTCAACCGATACTGGGTGGTGTGCATTTTTTGAACTGGTCAGTGTTACAAGAAAGACTTGTTTCACATCAAATTTAAATAGGCTTGCCACTCAATCGATACTGAGTGGTGTAAATTTTGAATTAACCAAGCGAAAAATACTCTAAAAAAAAAAAAATTCCATTCTTTGAAAATTTTAACTTTTTTACGATTTTAGTTCTTAATTTTGTTTTTTTTTTTTTTTTAAATTATAGTGGTACGAAATGAATTTTTAAATATACCCTTTTAATGATGGATTCATATGAGTTCATTGTTTTTATAACGTCAAGGCACTAAGGGTAAATTAGAAGTATTGTAAAATTAATATATTGAATTTTGAATTGGCCAAAAATAAAAAAAATAGACATTTTTTTAATTATAGTGGTACGAAATGAATTTTTAAATATACCATTTTATAATGGATTCATATGAGTTCATTGTTTTTATAACGTCAAGGCACTAAGGGTAAATTAGAAGTATTATAAAATTAATATATTAAATTTTGAATTGGCCAAAAAAAAAATAGACACTTTTTTTTTTGGTGAGATGGAGGAGTATTATTAATGTTCACAAAGGAATAATAAAACAATTTTGAATTCACAAAATTTTGAGAAAAATAAAACTAGTCTTTTATTAATAATAATGAATGTAATACATGTATTTATACTAGCAAAAAAAAATTATAAAACAAAAAGTAATGCTAAAAAAAATCTATTATATTATCCCTAAAAATTACAAAAAATAGGATATAAAAATTAATTAAAAAAATTCCAAAAAAGAATGAATCCTAAAAACAATCTAATTTGGCACTGTCTCTAAAAATTACAATATATATATATATATAGATATAGTAAGAAAACAACAATTGAGTACAAAAATCACTTAATCCAAGTCCATAAACAAAATAATTTGGCCAAAAAGATGACATGAATCACAAGCAAAACTAGTAGATATTAACCCCAAGCGGTTGGACTAGTTGGAAAAGATTCTGATGTCTCATAATATTAGTCTTAGAATCGATTTCTCTTAAGTACAAACAATTCTTTAAGGATTACGCCCGCGAATATAGTCTAAGCTTTATCCGATTAGTGCAAAAGGAGGGGCCTTGCACAGGTCCCGTGAATTAGTTGGGGGTAAAGTCTTGAACACCCCGATTATCGAAAAAAAAAAAAAAAAAGAAAAAAAAAAGTGGATATTGATTGTTGACTCCCATCAGAATTCAAAATTGCAAAAGAAAAACATGTCATACGTCATAAACTTAAATCTTGTATTATGTTTCTCAATTATTAATATATGGTAACAAAGTCAGTAGAATTACACATATAAAAAAAAATGTTAATAATTACATATTTGAATTATTTCATCATAATATTAAGCAAAACACCTGGACATATTATATTACATGATGCAGGTTATGTCTCACAATAAATAAAACTATTACTTTTCAGTTGAGTGAGAAAATAAAAAAGTTAGGTTAATTATCGATTATTTTACTATTGCAAGAAACTTGTTTTATCTTTTAATAAATTTTTCATAATATATATGTATATATATAAAATAAAACATCTACTATGTTCATTATAGGATTCAACTAAAAATTAAGAATATTATTCGTTAACTTGGAACTTTTTTTTCTTTTTCTTTTTTGAGAGTTAAAGTTGGAAAATCATACGAAAAGCTAAAGTACGTTTTTTTAAGAGTAATGTTAGGGAATTCAATACTCTGGAAACATCCGATTAAATTTATGTGAGTAGGGATGATGTCATGATGAGATCATCATATTCGATGACGTTATGATAATGTCATCCCCACTCACATAAATCAATAGCATACATCTAACTTTAAAACCACTTATCAATATTATTTTTTAATTATACATGTGTGCATTATTTATGTATAATAAGCGATTTTGCTAACTAATAAAAAAATACACACATTCATAATTAGTTTCCGCCATATAATTTTTAGTTATCAAGTGACTATTACAGATTTGAATTGTACAAGCTTAGAAATTAATGGGATTTGGCTTGGCAAATATTGGTGTTGATAATATCCTGAAGTAAAAATTATTGGATGGTTTTGAATCATACTTGATAGTCTAGTTTAATCCAAAGCCTCTCGTTAAGAAAAGTGGACTTCGAACAAAAATTATTAAACGGTCCTAAATCAGTTACACTTGGTTCAGTTTAATTCAGACTCTCCCATTAGGATAACCGGACTCAAAAATGGAAAAGTCTATAATTGACAATATTGGGACACCAACTAAGATACATAGGATTGTAAAGTGATGAACACCGCATACTCTTTTCTTTTAGTAATGTCAATGTTCACAATTACCTTATGAAGATATCTTATTTTACAGTCGTGACCATTATGTGACAAATGGTCCAAAACCATCTAACCACATCTTATTTTAGAAAAGATAAGATATCTTCAATGTCCACAATTACTTTACGAAGATATCTTATCTTTTCTTTTACAATCGTGATGTCAATGTCCACAATTATCTTATGAACAATAATAAAACTGAAAAAGTCTATAATTGACAATATTGCGACGCCCACATACTCTTTTATTTTACTATGGTGATGTCAATGTCTACAATTATCTTATAAAAGATGTCCATGTCTACAATTACCTTATGAAGATATCTTATTTTACAATATCTTATTTTACAGCCGTGACCACCATGTGACAATGGTCGACAACCATCTAATAGTCTCCTAAAAAAACACACTCGCAATTAATGCTACATGAACACTACATATACAAGGGTTGTACAAATGTGTTTTTTGATGGAATAAAATTAAAGTTTCACTTTCTATTTAAGTTATTCTATCACTAACTACAGTTATGTTATATTTGTTCAAGATCTCTAAGTGGAACTTGAATAAAGTATTATCATGGACAAATGTCATTTTCTTTATAGTAAAATTGATTAAAACCTTAAATTGAATGGTCTAAAGAGCATTTTCCCCCACCTAAAGGGAACAAAAACATTCTTGAAACATTAATGATCAAGATCAACACTTAAGATTCCAAATCTTTATTCCATTTCCACATACCTGGTACTGGAAATCAATTCCAAGTTTCAAAAGTTTGAGCTAAATATCATTAATGGGACTGAGATTGGACGGTCCTGATGGATTCAGTCCTCATACATGGCATCTAAGATGAGGTCTGGAATTCACAGCTGTAATTTGGCTACTGACAGCTAAAGCTTTGTTTCCCATGCCCCTTTTGTACTCACTCTCCCCACCCTTTCCTGAGGAGCATGCTGAAGATGGGCCCCACTGACCAGAGACATGACCTCTCTACCATAACCATATCCTACCATACCCCAATCCCACATGATTTTTCACAGACCTTTTCATCCTCCCAAAGCAAGAGCACACACCATGAGCATGAGCATTTACAGTTTTCTCACACACTTTAACAATGACAAAACTTTAATAAATGACTTTAAAATCTTTTGGAGAGATCACACACTCTCACTTTACAAACAAGAAAGAGAGCTTGTTTATAACACTGTAACTAGGGTTATTAACAACTGAAAAACCTGATCTTATCAAAGCAAACAGAGGCACAATCCCTGGGAAAAAAAGGAAAATTACCAAATCCCTCATCCCACCAACTGACTAATGGGATCTTTGCAAATGTCAAGTAATGTGTGTGTGTGTGTGTGTGACAAATTATTTGAGGACATGTATGGATATCACATGGAATTGAAATTTCTTTTTGTCTTCTGCAGCACCTAAAAAGGAAAAATCTATCCCCTAGGAAAAGTCCATGAAAAATAGGATAACATTAGTATCTTATTAGATTTTTTTTTTTAAAAATAAAAAATTAATGTAAAGTAATTTTTTCCCCCAAGAAGCTAGTTAAATAAAGAAAAGCTAAAATGGAGGTCTCACAGTGAGTGACTTCTCTCAATCTTCTTTTCATCTAACCACAAAGAGAGCTTTAACAGCTCCTGAGGATTGAATCAGTTGTGTGATCTGCATCTATCATAAAGTTCATAACCTAAGGGAGTTTTAATACTGAGATGCAGTTTTGCTAAGACAATTTGTTACTGTTTTAGCAATCTCTAATTATTTGCTGCAAGGCAAGAGCAAGAACCCTGAGTACTTCTTGAGTCTTGGTTAAGCAAAAGATAAACATCTTATCTTCTTGCTTTATTTCTTACACCTACCAACCATGCCCGCCCGGCCAAAAATAAATAGTACTTGATTAAGTCAAAAGAACTGTTAATCTTCTACAAATGTGTCTAAATATAGAGCGGAACCAAAATCAAACATTAATATAAAGTAAAAACTACATAATTGCGAATACCTCCCACAAACTCTATCTGATCAAGCATTCCTCTTTTAAGTTAGAAATCTCTTTGAATATAATCAACTTCTTCACTTCCACTGTCAGTCATGTACAGGCCCAATGCAAACTAGAAATGTGGAGAGGAACTGAACAAAGAGAGCACAGCAACAACATCCGTAGCACCACAAACTTTTTGCATTTCCACATGAACCTTCTCCACATGGATTGAAGACGAAACCCATTACTGAGAACAAAATCGCTCGAAATAATGGGCAATTTAGTTGCTCCATGCCAAACTGAAGCAACTGATTGGCATGCTGCATACGAAGCCATGTGAACAAACAAAAACTCCGACGGCAATGAGGTTGCCCCAAAAAGTTAGATTTATAATATCAGCCAATAACCTGAGTTTTAAAAGATATCTTACATTATTTCAGAAACTATGCAGTTGGGTGAGCATTGAAACAAGTTCATCGCTGGAAGGTCGATCCGCAGGCAAATCAGATAGGCATGCGACAGCAATTCTCACTGCCATCAGCATCTCATCTTCTTCTACTTCTTCCCCAAGAATACTTCTATCTAATGCTTCTCGGGCCTCCCCTTCTTGTTGCAGATGCCGAAGCCACCGTCCCAAACTTCCCCCAGTGGCTGCTCCGTCAAAGAACGGATCCATTGGGTCTCTACCAGTTAACAGAACACCCAAAATAACACCAAAGCTGAAGCTGTCACTCTTTTCAGTATACCTATTGTGATCAAACAAATAATCAATTACAATAAGACCATCAACAAAAACAGTTTAAGTTTAGAACTGGTATATGACACATTATTAAAGAAACAAAGACACGCATGGTATACACAATTACAAGCTAATGCTTACAAGTTACAACCCCTTTCAAATAACTGCTGCTCATTAATCTACACAAGTAAAATCAGCATAAACAAAATTTGGAGTAAAATAATTGTCTTTCTGTCAAGCTTCAATTAACAAGTAACTTTCACATCTATTCATGATCACATACATGAAACTTCATATTCACTTTCAATTGATTGCTAATTAGCCATCAAGCGAAAACCAAATATTCTGAATGAAGCACCTATACAAAGCTTACCATGAAAGATAATCAAGAAACTAATTTCAAGCACATTAAAGAAGTTAAGTTCATAACTTAAAAATGGATAATTACAGGACAGATCCAAGTGGCATTAAAATGAATTGTTGGCATCTTTCTGTATCCATTTCTCAAAATGTTGAATACCATCTTTGGTTCTTATTGCAGATGTTGGCCAAGACTTAAGACTAAGCATGAAAATTGAGACAAAATCTGCTGAATCCTAATCTCACATTCTTGTAAATCAATGATAGTTTCCATAATGAAATTCAAAGAACTAAGATGTGCAGACTTCAGATTTGTTACCTGCAGTTTTGTAAACACTCTGGAGCAACATAGCCCAAGGACGCCCCATCCAAACCGGGCATTAGCTTAGCCAACCTAAGATCTGTCAGCCTTGGTTCAAACTCTGCATCCAACATCACATTGGTTGGTTTCAAGTTGCAGTGCAAAATTCTAGGGTTACAAGTAAAATGAAGATACTGGAGCGCTTTAGTGATCCCAACCGCAATCCGAAGCCGAACTTCCCAATTAAGCTGCAGCTGATTTTCTCTCACTCTGTTCATTGCATCATCAAGACTCCCAGTGGACACATGGTCATAGACCAAGAAGAACCTATCGGATTCCCGAACATAAGCCCGTAAGCTCATCAAATTCCTATGCCTCAAGCTAGCTGCCATTTCAAGCTCCTGCTGTATATGCCTCTTGACCGACTTGCTGCGAGTCTCTGGAGACCCATTCTCAATGGGTTCAAGCCTTTTGACTGCAACTGTGAGCCCATTGTCAAGAACTGTCCTGTAGTACTTCCCACTGGGGCTCGATCCTAGCAACTCGTTTTCGTTTGCTAGAGCTGATTGAAGGGTTTTCGGAGCAATCTTTGGGGAGAATATGACTGGACCCCTGAGAATTGGGGTTTTGTTGAGGTACCCAATGAAGCATTTGACTAGACAAGCAAAAAGAATTGCACAGATCAATCCTGTTATAATCCCAAATACAATGCTGAGCATAACACTCTGCAATCTGCTCTTAAATTCCGGTGTTGTCGACGACGACGACGGAGACGATGGAGGCTTGGTTGAGTAATGATTGATTACTCTTTCTTGGCATTGCAAGGAAGTGTTGAATGAGCAGAAAACGAACAAGAAAATGAGTTTCAAGTCTTTACTGCTGGCATGAAATGCATAGCTTCTCTTCTCCATAGATTTTCACAACTAGAGTAGAAGCTCAAAGATCAAACAAAACCCATATACATATACACATTCACGAGCTGCTACCAAAACTGAAACCCTTCTAAAATCTCCATTTTCATCAAATTAAAAGCACAAGGAGTTCAAAGGAACATGAAAAGCTCAAACAGCCAGAGGATTAGCTGCAGGGGTTTTGTTAACATCAAAAGCACAATTTTTTCCCGAGAAATTGCCCAAATGATCCATATTTCCACCTGAGGACCTAATTTTCAAAACCTCAAGGATTTTCCGAGAAAATTTCCCAAAAAGAAATGAGAAAATCACTAGAGAAGCTTCAAGTGCTAAAGTTTGACGAATATTAGGAAATTAAAAATGGAATTTTCTCACCAAATCTTCAAGAGAAAGACAAAAAGAATCAATTCGTCATTTCGATTCCCTTCTTTTGCAAAAATTGCACACACTAATAAAATTTACAAGAATTTCAAGTGTGATGTTTCCAAAGCTCAAAAACTCCAAAAACGTGAGAACCAAAAATAGTTTTCTCTAACTGTTTCTGATTTCAAAAAGACCTTGCACACAGTGAACAGAACTGAATCGGTCGTTTTCTTCACATATTATTCGGAAAATGTTCGAGAAAGAAAACTGTAAAATACAAACAAAACCCTAGCTGGCTCTTCAAACGTTAAAAAGAAGTCGACCCCAGAATCAGAAACTGCGTTTCAGTGCCAGTCTGTGAGATTTATCTACCTCTCTCTCTCTCACCATATATATATATAAATATATATACACACGCATATATATCTTTACAAGTAGTCAAGTACTAGAGGAGAGAGATGAGAAGAGAAAATACTGGTTCCCGCCTTAGGAAGTGGGGCCCAGTGCCACGTGGGAAAGAACATAGCTGATGTCGCTGTCTGGAGGCGGAAAGCGAAACATCGAACTATGTGCGAGAAGGAAGAGCAGGGAGATCTGGACCGTTGGTTGTGTCCAGAAAGAGTCTGGGCCGTTGATGTGGAACCACTGGGATTTGTGCGATTGTGGCTTTTTGTGATTATAGAAATTGCAAGGTCTTATCGTGAGATTAGTAAAGTTTCTACTTTTTCCAATCGAATAATTGCTTCTTTTTTTTTTTTGGGCGTTTATATAATAAGTAGACCTGTACTTACAAGATAAGCCCGAAGCCAAAACGGGCCTAGGTTATTGGGCTTATGGCCCGTCTGAGCCTGATTTGGTCTGGCCCGATCAGATGATGAACTGAACCTAAGACTAGGTTTAAAATCCGCCCGAATGGCTGGTTATTAATCAATAATATCTCACTCTTCCATCCCTTTTTGGATCCACAGTCAATTGGGCTTATTGCAAAAAAATATTTTATCTTAAAACCTTTGCAATACAGTACAAGTGTTGTATTGAATCAGCTCAGGGAGGCAATGCAGTGTGTAGACGATCCAAACTCCTTATTGTGGTGGGAAAAATACCTCTTATAAAAGTCATCCGCGTAGCCACAACATAAGTCTTATTTTAATCTCTTGGTGGGTTACAAAAGCCCAACCCTGTTCATGCCCAGATTAAATCACTAACAGACTAAGATTGCCTTATTTGAACTTCCAGTTAATAAAGTTGGTTGGACCAAGTTACATTCGGCCCAGATTTGTTTATAGACAGAACCAGTGCTACCAAATAAAGGATCCTTCATACAAAGAAGTTTTACAGCAAGAGAAATCTGGCATGAAAAGAAGTATAGAAGGAAACAACATTATAGAAAAAAACAATGTATACGGAATGTATTAGAGGGCAAGCAATGCAAGTCATAGTATAATTCCACTACCTTTTTTTTAATATAAATATAGGCCTAAACCTCCAATAAAGGGTATCGAGCAATATATGCTCTTGCTTATTATTATTATTTTGAGTGAGTTGTATTATTTATTTTAATTTCTTTTATAGAGAGAAATTTTGCACCTACACTTATGATGAGAGAAGGTTGAAAGTTCAAATTCCAAGTAAGCTTGTGACTGCTCGTTTGGCATAACTTTTGTTTCCTCTTTTAGGCAAAAGAAAAAGAAAGTAGAAGTTATCACTTCCATTTAGCTTTATGTGTTAGTGTTTAGAAATTGTATTTTAGAAGAGCTTTTAATGAAATTATAGAAGAAAATATAAAATATTAAAAGATCTAATGTGTGAAGGAAATACATTAATATATAATTTATAATTCAATAAAAGAAAAAGCTAATTGGAGAAGGAAATATATAATATTAAAATAATATATATATATACACACACACACACACACACATATTACAAGGCAAGAAGAGTTAAAAGTTAGATTAGTAGGTGTTTGGCACTCCAAAATTCACCGAAAACACTAACTTACTGGACTATCAAGGCATCTGCATATAATGCTAAAATATTAAAAATTTATTTATTTTAGTACAACGAATTAACGAAATCTAATTAGAGAAGAAAATATATAATATTAAAAAATCTATTTTGAGAAGGGAACACATTAATATATAATAGTTAAAATCTTATTTATTTAATTCAATAAAATAAAATCTAATTAGAGAAGGAAGTATATAATATCAAAAAATTTTATTTATTTGGTTAATAATAATAATATAAGTAGTAGGAAATACTAGAATTCAATAAAAGGAAATCTAATTAGAATAAGACATATATAATATTAAAAAGATAATATGAGAAGGAAACCATTAATATATAATATTAAAAAACTTATTGATTTAGTTAATAATAATAATAATATAGGAAGTAAAAAATACTGAAATTCAATAAAAGGAAATCTAGCTAATTAGAAAAAAATATATAATACTAAAAATTTTAATTAGAGAATGAATACATGCATTAATATATAATATTAAAACTTATTTATTAGAGAAGGAAACACATTAATATATAATATTTACACAAATATATTAATATATAATATTAAAAACTTATGAATATATATCATTCTCCCATTAAATATTTGAACTATTAATTTTTAGAAAATATGAATTATAACATTTATCTAAAATTACTCTTTGTATCATAGTTAAGAATTATTTATATGAGAAATTGTAACCCCTTAAAGTTTCATCTTTACTCTTAGAATATTGTTTGTTACTAATGAATGTGAAAAAGATAAAACATTTGGCTTTATAAATATTTTAAATTTTAATACTCAAGGAAGTTGCTAATTAATTATTTGTTAAAAAAAAAAAAAAATTATTTTGATAATTTTGTATAATTTTTTAACCAAAAAATAATACAAAATTATATAAGCACGTCCTCACTTTAATTGGTTGAGGGCGCCATTATGTTTGCATGGTGTGTTTTATATAAGCTAGTAAAACAATCGTGAGTTTGAATAAAATCTAAGAGTTATAAATTAACCGTTTGAACTTCAAAGTTTTTTTTTTTTTTTTTTTCTCGGTAAGTTCTTCAAAGTTTAATTTCTTTATAAATAATAATCTCTTTAAATTTAATTTATTCATGATAATAATTTTTAATGTAATTAAGCAACGATGAAAAAACAATCAAAGTATGAATTTTATGCTAATTTTCACATGTAAATTATCTACCCATTTAAATATAATATTATAATAAGTATTTCAATTGAAAAGGTAATTTAATGTGTGATATTATGTGAAATTATATTGTTACTATGCTTGGCATGCCTTTCTTTTTTTTTTTTTTTTCTCTCACCCATGAAAGTTAAATAGAATTCTAAGTAGGAAAGATTCTTTGTTGAAAAAAAAAAAAAAAAAAAAACAAAGGTATACGCCTGCAACATAACAGATTGCTATGGTCAGAGGAAACAAATCTCGTATCCATCTAAAATCATTGATCTGCATATAAGCAATTTAAAACTACATAATAATAGTATATTGAAATGTGATAGAAAAGTACTTGTCTATTCTTCTATTTTTAAATTCACATAATATTTCTAGTAAACAAAGTTTGAAAAAAACATATCATAGAGGTTTCTCGGATTATTTATATATTTATCTACATAAAAGTATTTAAAAGCACATAACATAATAATATACTATCAAAATGTGATAAAAGAAAGTTACTTACTACTGTATTTCTTAAACTTCAAATTCATACATATTTGTCGGTCTTCTTCTCTCTCCTTCGTTGTGAGTTTCTAACTTTTTTTTTTTTTTTTTAAGAATTTTTTTAACCCTTTAAAATTATATTTAATAATAAATTTTTAATATTATCTTATCGATAATTTTACAATATTCATTTTATTAGATATATAACTAATATCTATGGCCAAATACTTATTAAAATCTATAAATATATAAATTCTATAGTATTAAACAAACATTTCACACAGCTTCTAGCCATGCTCCTAGACATGCTATCACATTTTGTTACCAAAAATCTATAAGCTGCGCTATTATAACCATATCCAATAAGTATACTATCAAATGTCTTAGGTCCTAGTGTTCTCTGTTTAGGTTATGCTAGTAGGACCTTAGCAAGATACCCCCACACTTTTAGATATGACAAGTTAGGTGCATAACATTTCCACAACTCGTATGATATTCTACCAATTTTTTGATAGGGTATCTTATTTTGTATATGACAAGCTGAGAGAATGGCTTCCCCCCACAAGTTAAGGGGTGCCCTAGAACTAACTAACATAGCATTTATTATTTCTTTTAATGTTCTGTTTTTTCTCTCAGCTATTCTATTAGACTCGGATGAATAAGGCATAGTATAATACCTTGATATTTTAAAGGATTTATTTATTGGGATTAATTACTTTTATTTTATTTTTAAATAATTTGTTTGATTTAATTGGAATTAATTGTGTTTATTTTATTTTTTAAATTATTTGTTTTATTTAATTGATTACTAGATTAATTGTCTTATTTTAATTAAGTTATATTTCTTGATTATGTATGATTGATTGATTGTGTGTGTACTTAATTATTGATTGAATTGTTGATGTGTTGATTTTGTTGGTATGGTGTGACTTAGTTGTAAATTCTTATTTGTTTATGTACTTCATGTAATTAGTTATTTTAATTTTAGTGTTTATTTAATTATTTTATTTATTTAAATTAATTGGATTGGGCTTAAAGAAAGTTGAGCCAAAGGATGTGGTATTGGACACAGATGAAACCTTGCTTGGTTAATTAATAAAGGCCCGCGATTATGTGATTATTTAAATGATCATTTTTAGATAATTATATATATATATATATATATATATATATAATTAATTAATTAATAAGTGTTGTGGAATGATATATATATATATAATTATTATTTCTTTTATTGGTAGTCGTACTAGGAATAGGGTTAGTTTATTTATGTATATAAATATACACATAAGGTTTTATAGTTAAAAGTTTACACGTTAGAAAAAACAAAAGAGACAAAGAGAAGGCTAACAAAGAGGAGGCCAGATCGGAGAAAGAGGATACCGGAATTAGAAGAGACAATCAAAGATTGAAGCGTCGGTTTTGCTTCGAAACCTTCAGCAAGTTATTCTCTAACTTTCCTCTTAGAACTTATAAGGATTTCACCTTGAGTATCAATGTTTAGATTAATTTTATTTGCATTAAATTATGGTTAGATCTGATAAATTAAAAGAATGAATTATTATATTTTTATTATTTTGGAATTTTTTTTTGGATTTTAAATTGATATATGTAGGTGTTGTATATATATTTTAAAATCAATTTATAGGTGGATCTATAACCCAAGAGGGTTAATTAGGGTTTCTAAATTTTCTGGCATCTTGCTGAACTTTTTGGGATTTTCTGAAATTGTTTTAT